AGAATTACTTTATAGATACGAAAAATAATTACTGCTGTTACAACATTATGCCATCCTCACTCACAAAATTGAATTTAAACACTATAGTAAAAAATAATCATAATTGTTGGGTAGTTTAAATAAACCTATTGTTTTTCCATAACCATATTACCAATATTACACTGCTGCTGCACACAGAAGACAGAAAGCAGACTGTGAGCCTTGTCTTGAAAAGAGATGAATGTTCAGAAAGCATATATAGAGGGCACAGTGCCTTTTATCTAGTAATGCTTCCTGCATGGCTCATAGTGCACCATCTTCTCACATCAGAGGAAAGGAACTGAAAAGAGAACCCTAGAGATCAAACAGACAAAGTTAATCAGAAGAGAACGAAAAGACATGCATTGAGATGCAGAGAATCTCTTCGCCAGAACTGCTCCTTATTCTCCACTCCCCTTCTTACGCCTCCCCCTGAAGCAAACATGTGTCTCCCTCTGGACTTCAATTGTCAGATCGAGAAGAGAAATACAAGCAAGTGGGGGGGGGAGGGAGAGCAACAGAGAGAACAGGTGACAAAAGGACGAACGCTCTGTTAGGCTCCATGCACAGTAACAGGGCCATGGGGACAGTAGGGAACAATACCCTTACAGAAGAAAAATAGAAAAATAAAAGATGGGGCAACATTGACATCTATTGTAAATGATAATTGTCAACAAATGAGTTATGGTGCTAAGCGGGAAGGAGTGCTTTGAGAAAACAAAGGCACATTGTGAAGGAAGTGCATCTGTGGATTTTGTTGTCGGTCTTTGCTGCTGAATTCATTAACTCTCGAGTCTCTACTGAATCTCTAGTTTAGCAACAATGATGATAGATAATTAGGTGCCAAACATAATTATGTTTTTGGTGTCATCTATCCACACAGACATGCTTTTGAAAAACTGCAATGAAATACCAGACAATCAGACCTTTTTCTTTGTGAGCTAAAACATATTTAACATTCTGTACATTTGAGAACTTACATGCAATAATGAAAATGAATAATAACAATACATATAACATTGTCATGGTAAAAATAATAACAATGGCCAAAAATATTTTGTTTCACAGCTCTTGGAAAACCTCAGACACATTTTCATTACACCCAGTGTTTAAGACTTCATTTGCTGCAGCTGTATTCCTTCCATCACAAACAACTTGGAGAGACCCACTTCCTGCTTGAGATTCATAATCCTTCTTTACCTAAAATAGGCATCAAATGAAATTATTAAACATCGCCTTTTTCTACTTGTTTGTTTCCTCAAGTTACATTTCAAGATCTGCCTCTCTCAGCCACAAGAAATGGTATGCAATGCTAAAAACAGTCCCTGACAGACACAATATATTTGCAGTATAACACAACGTTTGATGCATTTTCTATTACATTTTCAAGCTTTCCTGAAAAAGCTCTCTTTACATCTGTCTTAAACACCACAAACAAGATAAAATATGATGTCAAAAATAATAGTTTGAGACTAGGTTGGGATACACAGCTGCATTTTCTTCGAATAAGCAGAACACTTTAAATGTGCTCTTTATAGTTCAAAGACTAGTATTCAAAAGATAATCATGAACATTTCAGTAGCAACATCCTTTTACAATCACAATGTACTGTATTTAACAGCTAAATGCAATTATTTAATAATATATAAATAAAGAAACTGCAAAGTATAACAATGTTGTACTAAACTGCATTACTGTCAAATATTTTTAATAATCTGTTAATTTCCAAAAGCATTGCAAATGTACATATAAACATTGTGACATTGTATGTTAGCCAATACAATTAAATTAAATTCAGTTGCAATAAAAACAACAAATAAAAAAACATGGCTATTTAGGGCAAGGGACGTGGAATCCCTTTTTGGGGGATTTTGAATCATTTAAGCTTTTTTAAAGAGAATTAAAGCAGCATTGTCAGCCTGTAGTAACCCTTGCAAAAAACAGGAAGCCTGAACAGATACTTAAGAGTCTTCATTTCCTTATGAAGACATACATTTCAGCTTTGTTCTTTGGAGCAAGGCCACACTGGTTTTGCACACAAAAGGTTTCATTTAAATATTTCAGTTCTAAACTTGAGGAAGCAAATGTGCAGATCTTAGGACTGGTGAGATCCGTTAACATTTTCTCTTGTTAGAATTGGACAGCATTTTGAATGTGCTTGAGTCTTCTGGATAGAGCATTTTAAATATTTACAGGAGATTAACATTGGAACATGTTTTTGTTATTTTTCTTCGGTTTGCCTCTGCCTGTGACAAGAACCTTCTAACGTTATGATTTTATAATGTAGCAGTTTTAGTAATATTGCAAAACATAACTCACAATACAATACATTTGATAGGAGAGCAAGAGATGTGTCTCTAGATGAAATGGCTTGCCAAGGATCCTTGAGGAACTTAACCTGAAAAGCTTTAGACATCAAATAATACAATGACGTTCGAAAGATGCTTCCCTCGAAGCCCGATGTGTGCAAACTAAATTCTGCAAACAAAAATAGGTTAAAAATGGAACTTGACTGTGCAGCCAATCATTATTCCTTATTTTCCTCTTCGCTGCTTTTTTCTGAGGAAGAAGAATTATTTCCCTTTCTCAAAAGAAGCTTGAGGATATGGTGGATTATTAACAAGATATTCCTCCTGTAGTCCATTCTGCAGAGGCGGTTAGTAATATGGCCCTGTTAAGTGCATTCCTGCTGAGTCGTATGACAGGGAAGACCTCCAAGTCGGCTTAGAAAATACATTATCAGAGTGCAGCATATTAAACTAAGCACAGCCTCCCTCTGACAAAGATGGGGATTTTCCGGATGCCCTTCGTACCCTAGAGGAATTGTTCAGAGCTTTCATATCAGTTCCCATGCAGCCCTGAAACAACGGGCACAGCTTTTGTGCCTTTTTCCTATAGTGTCCAAATCCTCCAGCTGTACCATGACTTCATGAGAGATGATACGAATTGTGGAGACACAAGGCTGACACCTCTGTTCAAGTCCATTGACCTACACCTGCATACCCCTCTTACAGAGTCCTGGCTCAATTATCATTGTTAGTGTGAAATCCAAGGGTTTCAGCCATGTTAGTGTCACTTCTACTCAGCAACTCCCTTTGGATTTTTAGTTCCCTGTCAATCTCTCTAATCCAGCTGTGAAATGTGCCTTGTTGAAAGCCCTGAAACATTTTAAGTCTCTAACATTGCAGTTTTTCTGTTCTGTCCTCTGCCCTGGAACCATGTCCTCACTGATAGAGGCAAAAGAGTGGCAATCTCTGTCTACTTTGCTGAGCTGCAATCTTATGTTGCCTCTCACTCTTCTCATGTCTTCTTAGACAGCTGTGCAGAACCAAGTCGTACCTCCCTCATGAAGACCATCATAGCTTGTGTGGGAGGATTAATGCGGCCGCTGTCTGTCGCTCCCCACTGCACTGTCTCGCTTGCAAGAGACTCAGTGCAAGCCCAGCATAAGCTTTCTTTGTCATACAAGATGCTGTAGTCTGGGAAGTGGTATATCTTATAATGACATCCTGTCTCCCAACCAGCTGTAAACAGAGTTTGGAACATGGAGAGGATTTGACCGACAGCACTAATGAAGCTGCATTCTTTTTGTCTTGTTACTGTCCTGCTAATGTTTTTTAAACAAGAAATCATAGATGCAGGACTCAGACCTATCTGTCATCAATGATGGTAGGGACCTCTGCTCTTTAACTTTCACCTTCCATATAGGATGCAAAAACGTCATTGACAAGATCGGACCACATCACTCCACTGGACAATGTTTATTTAAATGGATGGAAGTGGATATTTTTCTCTAGAGACAAAAGCCCTGTGCTAACTCATCTCAGTCCATACTTGCAAATATTTGCAAGATGCCACAGCCGTAAAGTTTAGTGAAAAACATTCCTCTTCTTGAGACTCTGACAAGGTTGTTTTGTCTACTAGTCCCAGAAAGAATGAAGTCATTGTGATACGCGGAAATTATTAAGCTCATAGCGGTGCAGTACTGGTTCATTGCACTATAGACTGTCATTGCAAGTGGAAAGCTCTTTGTCAGATGGAATAGCCTCTTGTTGTTTGGATTATAAAATAACCAGGTTGACGCATCAAGCACGGTCTGACACTCAGTCAGATGGTCTTCTTACTTTCCACATGTATGAGGAGGCTGTGGCTCAGTGAAATAGTGCGCTGAACTTTGTGCGCTGAACTTTGAATCAGGGGGATAGCAAGTTCGAGTCCCACTGCAGTCAGCATGTCGTTGTGTCCCTGGGCAAGACACTTCACCTCAAATTGCTCCTGTGGGGATTGTCCACAGTACTGAATGTATGTAAGTCGCTTTGGATAAAAGCGTCTAACAAGTGACATGTAGTGTAATGTAATGTATGCTTTCTGGACAATGCAAATATACGAACAATTAGATGTTATTATGGCGGGGCGGTTCAGTGTTTATTGAAGAAGCCCTGCACTGTTGGTTCACTGAGTTTATATTGCTAATATGTGGAGTCCACAAGGATGCTCTTGGTAAACTTGTGTATAAGCAAAGGTTGTGGTTGTGCAATTTCAATTTTTGGCAGGCAAGAATCCTCCCTCTGGGTTTTCATTTTCCAGGTATTGATCACAAACATGTGTGCCCTTGCGGTCATCACACTGACGTTTATCAGGTTCTTCTAGCTGGTTATGTGTAGGTTCTTCTTGGTCCTAGTTGCTCTTGTTGTTATATAGCACCTCCGTTTTCTGTTAGCTGTACAGATTAATTGGAAATTAACCTGAGCATAATAACATCTTGCCACTATGATCAAGTCAAACCATTTAATCCTTCTAGCCATGTCTCCTTTGTTAAGACATATATGTTCCATTGCACATACTCTGACTGGGCTTATTTGTTTAATTCAGTATGTTGAAATTAAGCCTAAAGTTACATAAATACTTGCTTACATTACAACAAAATGTTGGCAATACAGAAAAAAATACTCTTGACTAAACATACATTCTTTCCATTTTAGCTCAACAGCAGAACTTGGGGGAACAGTTCCTTCATGTGTTCCTTCAAGATGGAAGTGCTGTTGCTAAACTTGGGTGTGGTAGCGGTCATGTTCTGCATGCTGCTGCGGGCCAGAACATCAATAACAACAGATGGGTGCCCATCACAATCAGGTAAGATAAGTCTCCTACCTTCCTCTCTGTTCTTTAATATTCTATTTCCAAAGTCATTATCACTGCCTGTATTGATTATCATTTATTTGTAATTACTTGTTTTAAAAAAGGATGTGAATCAGGATATCTTTAGGTTGTGAAAAGTGTTAAGAGTATTAGTCAATGAAAAGAAGCCCCAAACTAAACTCCTTCTGTCTGTAGAATGATTAATCTTTACGGATATGTATGTTTGATCTCTGACACATAATAAACCATTTTCAAAACACCAAGTCATTTTCTGAAAGTCTATCTTCATAACTTGTTTTGTTGATGAGTTCAAGTGAGTCATCAATTTCCTTCCTCACTTGTAACTTCCTCCACTCAGTTTCAAATGCCTATAAAGAAGAATTGAGGTAATAAGAGAGAGAGAAAATGAACACAATAGATCCACGCAATGTATTTAGTGTTACATTTGCACATTTATCTGTTAAAAAAGATGTGTGTGCAGGGCTCAGTTGTTTCCACTTCAATTGGGTTTTTACACAAAGTCCCATGTCATGGTCTCTTTGATAAAGCCCTGTGAAAGCTTGTCTGTACAGCAGCTATCCACATCAGTGTTGATCAGAGATTTGATTCTGCGGTATTACAGAAGTACAATGAAAGCTCACTGCATCAGATAAATCCCACTTTAATGCCCTGGATCCCTGTGCACCTCCAGAACAGCAGTCATAACCCTGACATGTGTCAAAAAAATAAAATCATTCAGTGTGCTGGCAGTGATCGTTTTGGGACTGGTACAATGCTTATTATGAAAAGTATACATAGAAACTCAATCACATGTCATACTAATACTAATTTCAATAAAATATTGAATACACATTGAGATACAAATTGCCATTTGTATTCCATTGGATTTTAGTTGAATAGTTAAACTTACCTACTTTACATAAACATCATCAATAATTAAGTTAGCATGCACAAATAGGTATACGCTATTTAACAACTAAAGCTTACTCTATGTTGTTGATATATTTTTCTCTGTGCTTTACAGTTTTATTATGCAAAAAGAGAAACATATATGTTACCATACATGGCATCTCATAGATTACTCTCAGATAGTTCAAAGAGAGATTTAGGATTATTAAACTTTGGTATTCATTCTGCTGAGAAAATTGGCCATTTCAGCAAATCGTTGCAGGATGGTTTCCTGTAAGTGGCCCCTCTTTCCTTGACTGTATCCAGTACCAGGGGTGCCCAACCAGTCGATCGCGGGGAGATTCCCAGTCGATCGCGAGATGTGTCTAAAAATAGAACAACAATATTCTGTTTTATCATTAATGTCCTATAACATAAACTTCCTGTGCCATAATAATGCACGTGAACGCATTAAAGCTTTGTGATTGGCCGGCGTGACTCCATGTGTCTGGGCTTGGCTGGTGGGCAGTGGGCACTAGTTCGCTGACGTTGTCCGTGGCAACAGGAGTGACAGTCCGCACACACACAAGACCACAATTATGGCAGAAGCAAAAAAGCTCAAAATATATAATTTTCACTCCGAGTGGGAGGATGATTATTTTTGTATCTATTCCAATTCTAGTATATCTGTCTCATCTGCAATGCGAGCGTGGCTTTACCGAAGAAGTGTCATTTAGGAGCGGCATTTAAAAACAAACAAACGCTACGAGACGGAATTCTCTCCTAATTCTGCCCTACGCCCCAAAAGGGGAGGGGCCTGAAAGGACAGCTAAATGCACAGCAGTCCATTTTCACCAGGCCCAACAACAAGAGCAAGGCTGCTACCGTAGCATCTTATCGTGTCAGTCACGTTCTTGCGAAACACATGAAGTCTTTCAAAGATGGCGAAGTTGTGAAAGAAGCATTCCTGGAGGCTGCCGACGCGCTTTTGGGGGCCAGTAAAAATAACAGTAGCATTTCAACAGGTTTTTGATATAATACAAACTCAAGTTAGATACCGTTATTAATCAGCTGTAAGTTTTAGTTTATTTGAACTTATTCATTATAATTATTATACAAAATGGTATAAGAATGCAAACTTAAATTGATTATAATCTATTATCAATTCAGGTTAAGAAACTAGTGTTGCTTGCATCCTATTTTAAAGGCATTTATTTTTATACTCTCCTAAAATGCAACAAAAAAAGGGTTTGATTCTATTAATTTTGTCTTTTTTATTGCACTGTTGCTGCAGATTCCTGTGTAGCTTCAGATCTGAGTTCTCTTATTAGTAAGCCCAATTTATACTTTTGTAGCAACACTGTTTTTATATAATGGCAAAGAAAGGGTTCAGAGTCTTTTCTTTTTTCCCTGTGTCATATGTGGCAGCACTGTTCAATGTTTCTTGAAAACATTACCCACTGTAGTGTGACGTGTGAATAAACTCACACTCTATCAACAACACTGTTGTGTAACTTCAGTTAAATACTTGTATGTGTGTAGTTTAGAAAGAGGTAATATAAAGGATCTGCAGTATTTTATGAAGTATTAATCGTACAGGTCAGTTTTATACAAGTAGGAGTGTGTATTATCCTGGTAGTGCTGTCAGTAATGGCTACGCCTCTCTATTTGGACTGGTAGATCTCGGCAGACTGGCAACTTTAAAAGTAGCTCTCGGTTCAAAAAAGGTTGGGCACCCCTGCAGTAGACAAACCTTACACCTTGACCCAGTCATTTTCTGCCTAATGTGCAATGTTCTGAGGATATTGCTCACATAAAGAGAACTTGTAAGCCTGGTTCAATGACCCTTAATGATCTATGACTATTAAAGTTGAATATCTAAAGTAAAAATGCACTTGCACACTTCACAACTTTTAATCACATTTAGCTTTACCAGTACATTCATCTAAAAAAAGCTAGTCCCATTTAAAAATTAAAAATAAAAACGTAACCTTATTTGAACATTTACAAATTACATAATACAATGTTTAATTAGAGGATTAAGTTTGCTAAGACTAATGTTACATTTTGTTTGTCAAAGTCCAACTAATTGTGATTCATTTATTTTACCATTTTGAGAAAACGATGATCCCAGCCATGGCAAGTAGTTTACATTACATTACATTGCATTTAGCTGACGCTTTTATCCAAAGCGACTTACAATAAGTACATTCGACCAAGAAGACACAACCTTGAAGAAAACAGAATCATATACATCAGGTTTCATAGAGCCAAAACATTTCAAGTGATACTCAACTGGCTATAGATAAGCCAGTCCTTTATTAGTATATAAGTGCTTTGTTAGTAATTCTATCACTCGAAGTGGAGTTGAAAGAGATGAGTTTTCAGTCTGCGCCGGAAGATGTGCAAGCTATCTGCTGTCCTGATTTCAATGGGGAGCTCATTCCACCATTTTGGAGCCAGGATAGCAAACCCACATGTTTTTGCTGATGGGAACTTGGGTCCCCCTCGCAGCGGGGGTGCAGCGAGTCGTTTGGCTGATGCAGAGCGGAGTGCACGTGCTGGGGTGTAAAGTTTAACCATGTCCTGGATGTAGGAAGGGCTAGATCCATTCGCAGTCTTTAAGTGGATTCTAGCAGTTACTGAAGCCAGTGAAGGGAGCGGAGGAGCGGCGTGGTTTCTCACAACAAGCCTTTTTCACTGAATGAATGATACAAAAATACAGAATAATATAAAAATAAAATAAACCCAGTAGCATTAACTCAGCTGGAGTTAGATAACAGTAACCCAGTTATATGACAATGTATTCATACAAAGCAATAACCTCTGCCATCTTCCCACACTTATCACTAGATATCGCACATTTCTTAAGACACATCCCGAGTGAAATTACTTCTTAATGCCAGAAGCAGCAAATGTTTCTACTCTTTTGGATTATCGAGGGAAAACAGTTGAATCGTGAGCATTTGGCAACAGATTTGGTACCAAATGTTGAACCTGATCCATATGCATTCGCACTACTTGCTTGTCTCATCCAAATAGGTCTGATCACAATGCTTCCCCATGCACAGCTGATCTCCTGTCTGCGTTGTGTGCACACAGGCTTTCAGCTCAGGCACTGTGGAGCACAGTGAGCCAGTGGGAGAAACAGGAGGGGGCTGCTGCTGAGCTTTGCCTCTATTTATTCTTGATCGGTTCAGCAATTGTATTCATATGCAAATGAGCACATGACATCATCTAGTATTGTTGAGCATTAAATACCTTCCTTCCTTGGATGATAGTCTCCAACAGTGAAAACAGCTGCATCAATTCTCAGCATCTATACAATGCAAAGCAAGGGTTTTATATAACTGTAAATATCCCAGAGCTCCAATGACCAAACACGGAAAATGAGAATTGCCTGATGTCACTGCATCACATATGTCCCTTTCACACCAGCGCTTTTTCAGCTCCGGCTCGGAGCTGGAGCCTGAAAAGCGCCGGTTTTTCCTGTTCACACCGCAGCGGCGCCGGCTCTTAGCTCCGGAATCCGGTTCACTTCCAGCTCCAAAAAATTGTCGGTCTAGAGGCAAGAGCTTCGGAGCTAAGAGGTGGCGTCGCTTACGTCTGTCTCTCTTACGTCGAGGCGTGCAGGAAACTAAACCCACCTCCCCTAAACATGGGTCGACTGTCATGCCTGCCTACAAGCAGTAGTGCTTATAAACACACTTTATAAAGTCAGGCAACACTAACCAGGCTTGTGTTTATTTGTACCTTACTTTGACCATCCGTTCACTGTTATTGATCATTGTGGAGAGAGGCAGACGTTTTGTTTTGTATTATAGCAGCTATCGGATGGAATCAATACATGGGCTGCACAGGTTTTCGTGTCCGACTATCACAAGTAGAATCATAATAAAAATACGCCGGTAAAATGTGCCTGTAGAAAACGGTTTATGCCACAATAGGATAGCAATAGCAAGTAGTCAGTTTAGCTTCGGTTGCTATGCTAACATCACCCATTTTATACCAGAGAAACTTTCATAACAGCGTTGTGATACCAAACAGCGTCAATTCAGACTGACACACATTCACTTAGGCTAAGGGGAACTGGGGATATGTATCAG